AAGAGTAGTGCCTGCCTCTGCTGGAAGAGAACAGCAGTGGCAAAAGGGCAGGTTTGAAGAAAGTGGTTGAGCTTGGGCAGGGCGCATGCATTGTGCAATTGTGCAGCGTATAGTATTTCTCACCCTAAGATACCTCTGGGTCTGTAGCAGCTGGGTTTGACGCATGACGCTGTGTTTGCCAGGACATAGAGAAGAGTGCGGTCCTCAAGCATGTATTCACGTTACTGTGGGGAGGAGCAGATGTACCGTGTGTGCCTCTGTGGATGCTTCTGCACTGGAGCGAATGGGGTACGCCTTATGAATAAAAGAGGAACTGAGGTGGCCACCCAAGTGTGGCAGGGGCTAGAGGCCTTAGAGAGCCAGTGGGAAGGACTGGAGCTAGTATACAGAAGCCAGAGCAGACTTGGATCCCACCATATCTGTACCCAGATAATATGATAATCCTCTCCTTCCTTAGTCATTGAATAAGATTGTCAGGGTAAAGGTCCTGCCTGCATAGATCCCAGCAGGAGAAATGGATGCTGAGCATTCCGCCCTCCCATCCTCTGCAGAACCCTCTCAGAATGCCATTTAGTGGGCAGGGAGGGCTGGAATCATTTTCCAGTTGCAGGGTACAGAAACAGCAGAATGCGCCAGGAAGCCCCGCCCCCTCTCCCTCACCTGCCTTCACTCTCCCGCACGTGGATTCTCTCTGGGCCTCACTTGGTTGTCTCCCTGACCCTTTAAATACATGCTGCAGACACACAGAGGGGAGGGATTTGAGTGATTATTACAGAAGTAGGAGAGGAAGACACCCAAATTCCAGAATTTTTTTTTTCTTTGAGACAGGGTCTTGCTCTGTCACCCAGGCTAGAGTGCAGTGGAGCAATCATGGTTCACCTCAGCCTCAACCTCTAACCTCCCAGGCTCAAGCAATCCTCCCATCTCAGCCTCCTGCTGAGTTGCTAGGACTACAGGCGCACACCTCTACACCCAGCTAATTTTTGTATGTTTTGTAGAGATAGGGTTTCACCATGTTGCCCAGGCTGGTCTCGAACTTCTGGGCTCAGGCAATCCTCTCACCTTAGCCTCCCACAGTGCTGGGATTAGAGATATGAGCCACCACGCCGAATTCTACATTTTAAAAACTCTTCCAGTCCCTAGAAGTGAGCCCATGCTGTGTGGGCATGAGTCTCCCGCGCCCTCTGCTGGCCACATGGAGATATTGACCTGTTTGTCAAACAGGTTCCGGAGCTGGCTGTTGAGTCCTTTTGCTGTTCGCCTGCAGAAGTCTTCACCAGGAAGTCCTCCCAGTGCCCTCCCTAAATCCCTTCTGCAACCTCAGTTCATTTCTCTCGATGAAATAGCTCAAGAGTAGCCAGTCTACTTGTTCCTTGTTTTATCTAACTTAAACCCTTCCAAAATTGAAAGCCTATTTATGACTCGGCCACAGAGCAGCTAAGGGGCCAGCTGCTTCTAGCACTCAGCCCCAGTCTTACTTTCCAGCCCTTTAATCTCCGTGGTTCTGCCCTGGCTCCCCTCCAAGTTTCCACTGTCTCGCTGGAGCCTACAGGTGACCACAAGACCCTGACTGGTATCTCTGACACTGGACTCTGCTGCTGCCGAAGGAATAGGTCCCACGGGGGAGTTAAGTGGCACCAGAAACTGGGAGGCAGATCAAAACATTAAGCCTGCTCTTCAGAAGCAGCCAGAAAGCTTGTGTGTTTGGGAAGGTGTGCCCTCAAAAGCCTCGCCTTGGGGAGGCTGGGGAAAAGAGAGAGTTTGCAGAAATGTTTTGAGTTCCTTAAATGAAGAGAGATCTCAGAATCTACATTTTCTGTTTTCGTAACATGGTTGCTTGGCCCCGGGGCAGCACTTGAATACTTTCAAAGAAGACTAAGAGCAGTCAAAATAAATTTACCCTAAGGTTTGTCCAACTATTGTCAACAGCCCCATCCTCCTGGGAAGGGTGACAGCCCACAGCACTTCTTAGAAAAGGTCCTGCTGGAGTGCCGTGGCTCACGCCTGTAATCCCAGCACTTTGGGAGGCCGAGGAGGGCAGATCACCTGAAGTTAGGAGTTCGAGACCAGCCTGGCCAACACAGTGAAACCTCGTCTCTACTAAAAATACAAAAATTAGCTGAGCGGAGTGGCAGGTGCCTCTAATCCAGCTCCTCAGGAGGCTGAGGCAGGAGGATGGCTTGAACCTGGGAAGCAAAGGTTGTGAGTGAGCTGAGATTGCGCCATTGCACTCTAGTCTGGGGGACAAGAGCGAGACTTCATCTCAAAAAAAAAAAAGTTCCAAAAGGTAAAGAGTCTTAAGAACTGTTGAGGGAAGGCTGTGGACCACCAGAGAGAGAGTAGGCAGAAATGCCAGCTGGAGAAGGGCACCCTCTGACCAAAGGGACAGAGCTTCCCCCAACAGGTAGCCAGAGGAGGACGGAATGGCACCCCCCTTTCAAATTTCGTTAAGAGCTAGAGAGAGCACCACTGAGATAGAGATAGATACTTAGTTCTGCTTGGACACAGGGGGATGAACTAAATCGCCTAAGGAAAGGATTCCAGGAGCTGCTACACCAGCTCCAGGAGAGGAGCCAGCTTCCCAGACTCTCTCACCTTGAAGAGGTGACAGTGTGCTGGCTCTCCAGGCCAGGCTGGGGCAGCCCACTGAAGGAGATGCAGAGATGTGCACGCTGGTCAGCGGCCAGCCCACTCCCCAACCTCCCCTCACTTAATCCAGTTATCCACCTCCCCTCACTTGATCGGGGAAGGGGTCCAGGCCTCTCCCAATCTGAATCCCCTCCAGGTTTTCAGTAGCAACCATTTCCTGCCTGCCCCTCCTCCAGCGGTAGTCAAGTACTTCTCGAGGATTTGAAGGCTTGGTGATGCTGAGGTTGAGAGGTGCGGCTCCAGTCCTTCAATAAGACGAACCCCAAAGCCCTTCTGTGCAGTGGTTAGCACTCCCTCTCCTTAATCCCTCCTCTCCAAGATCTGAGCCTCAGGGTGGGGCCTGCGTTACCGGATAACAGAGTGCCAGCTTTTCCATTTGTGCGTAGTCCTCAGGCCAGCCACGCTTCTCCTTCCTGCCAATCTCACTTGCCCTACAACCAAGAAAAGTTGGTTTACCCCACAACACGACTCTCTAATCCCATTCCACCTACCAGGGATGTCACCCTATTGATGAGGGTTTGATGGAGCAGAGTCAGCATACTGGGACATCAAGACATGACTGGGAAGAGGGGGTGAAAGGCCAGAAGGGGTGCCAGGATTCTTGGGTTGAATTTAGTTTAGGGGAGCCCGCCCACCACCGCGCTCTGCTTTCTCCGCCTCATCATCTTCCTCTCCAGTCGTTACCTCCCTTCCTTTCCTACGAATAAATATCCAAACAACTCACCACCAGGAACACTGCAAACCCTTGGAGGCTTCTTCAGGGCAGGAATCTTCTCTGCCAAGGCCTTAAAGACCAGATGCCTGTTTCATAAGACTTGACAAATCCTGAGCCAAGAGGGAAACAGATGCTGGGGTGCACCCTGCCATCTGCCATTCTGACCAGGTTAGACCAGGTGTCCAAACGCCTTTCCTGGCTCACACCTGGAACTTGCCCAGAGCTGCAAGCTCATGAGTGGGGTTTACATCCGCCCAGAGGCCTAAAACAATGTCTTCTCAAAAGGCTCGTCTTCCCTTGCACCTCATCCCTTGAATTCTTGAATTCTTGAATTCTGCCCCTTCTCTGTTCCACATCCCAGAGTCTGGCTGTCACTCTTCCTGGAAGTCTCAGTGATCACGGAGTGGGTGGAGAGCAGGATTTTCTTTCACCTCGTGTTAGTTCTTTAAGGTCACTCAAAGTTCTATTTTCGCTTTCCAGTATTTGAGAAAAGAAGGGGGTAATGAAGATAGGGCTCCTCACCTCCACTCACCCCTGCACCTGGTCCCACTGTGGGGCATCCCGGCCACACCTTGCCCACCTGGAAACAACAATCTAACGTTCCCCCACTCTGGTTCCTCTGAGGCTGGGTGAGGTCAAGGAGCTGAGAGGAGAAAGGGGACCCAGGGATGGATGCCTATGAGATAAGAATTTAAAGGAAATCTGTGCACCAAGAAAAGGCCAGACGGGTGGAATTCAGGATCAACAGATACATGAACAGTCTTACTTCTCTAAAGGTCAAAAGCCAGCTAACTATAGACTGTCACCAAGCCACTCCTATATATAACTTCCCCGGTCCCAGCCAGCTGTCAGCCTCTCTCAGTCCAGAGCCGAGCAACATGCCAGCCTCCCAGACCCCCAAGCGTGGCGCCAGTTCTGAGCCAGAATGGGAGCGCGGCCTCCAAATGCCACTTGGCCCCACGCCAGTCCCCTCCAGGCCCATACTTCTGGGTCTCCTCTCCCCTCCTCCTGCTCTTTATGAAGGTCCCCACCACCCACTGCTCCAGACCCCAGGACCGCCTCCTCCGAGGTTCCCCAGGTCCCCCAGGTCCAAAGAGACCTCAACATCCAGCAACTCTGAAAGCACAAAGGTCTCACTAACGGGACAGACTTGGTCCTTCTCATCCATGCCCTGGCTGCCTCATCTTCCTCCATGGGCCCAGATCCCCAGGTTCCGACTTCTCAGCCCCACCTCCAGCCGCGTCCCATCTATTTGGCCATCCCCCAGCAAGCACACCACTCACGACCACCTTCATCCTTGCCGGGACCACCTCCCTTGCCCTTCCGCCTTTCTGCTCCCAGAAAGCCCACTCCATCCTCACCCACCGATCCATCATCCCTTAATTCTCCTTTTCTGTGAGGTCTTCCTGCCTGCACTCTCTGTTCAACTCCGGGCATGCTAGAAACTTCCCACCACTTAAAGAACGTTCCCTCTGCTTCCTGGTTCTTATCTCCTGCTTTCACGGTGTCCTCCAGGAGGGCAGAGACATCTGTTTCAGCTTTTATTACTCCCCTCGCCCCGCACTGCCCAGCCCTGGGCTCTGGCTGTGTGCACCTTGGCCCACAGAAGCCGACCCTCTGGCTCCTTCCCCTGCAGAGAGAGACTCCCGTGAGCACGACGAGCCCCCCACCACCACCGAGCTGGCGGAGGAGACCTACTCCCCCAAGATCTTCCGGCCCAAGCAAACCCGCATCTCCGAGCTGAAGGCCGAAGCGGTGAAGAAGGACCGCAGAAAGAAGCTGACCCAGTCCAAGCTGGTGGGGGGAGCCGAGAACACTGCCCACTCCCGGGTCGTCGCTGCCCCTGAGATGAGACAGGAATCTGAGCAGGTGCATCTCGGGGATTCCCTCATTCCCTCCCCAGCTTTTGACCTTTTCCTGCATCTAAATTGGACCTCCGTGGCAGCAGGAGGTGCTAGGCTAGATGTGGCAGAGGACCGACACAGCCAACCATGGTGGCTCCGCTTAGGACTTGGGAGGAGTTTCCAGAGCTTACACTGGTCATCGCTGAGGGCTCCTGCAAGGAAGCAGGAATAGGGGCGGTGCTCATTTGCAGAGTGTGTGCCAGCCCAGCGGCCACACATCGGGCGCCTGGGCCCTGCAGCTGTGTCCAGTGCAAGGCAGAGGCTGAGTATCCTCCCAGAGCATCTAGACATGGGCACCTCTGGACTCAGTTACTCAGTGGGAGAGAAAAGCTGCTGGGGTGGAGGTGGCCTGTAGCACAAAAGAGAAAGTCTAGCACCGTACCTGGCCAAAGGCAGGCTGTGTATGATCCCAGAACATGTGACAGGTGACAGGGAGGAAAGATCCTGGGTAGCAGAGGACTAGGACCAAGGGTGGTGATTGTCCTCCAGAGACCCTTTGGCCCTCCCATCCCCCGGGGCCACTCGTGAATGCAGCTGGGTGGTTTCCCCTTGGTCTCGCCACACCTCTCACCCCGCTGTCCACACAGGGCCCCTGCCGCAGACACATGGAGGCTGCCCTGCAGGAACTTAAAGCCACCCCGCGCATGGTGCCCCGCGCCGTGTACCTGCCCAATTGTGACCGCAAAGGATTCTACAAGAGAAAGCAGGTATGTCCCCTGCCCTGAGCTCCCAGGCTCAGACGGCTCTGAAAATGGCACCTGCCAGGAAAACTCTGCCTTGAGCAAGTGCCTGAGATTTCCACCATTAAACACTTCACATGTCCCTGGCCTCAGATACCCATTCATACACTACCATTCCCTCATTCCCTCCTGTGCTGTAATCCACTGCTTCCCACAGATCACCTTAGCTACATGAATTTGTTGCAAGAGGAAACTGTTACACCCTCTCACAGCCCATATCATTGGTGCAGTGCACACTCAGGACTTGAAACCATATTTTCTCTCTGTACCACCTGAAGTCAATTCATGTCCCTTCACAGCCAGGCTCCCGTTTGGACAATGTTCTCAGATTTCCGAGGGCATCTGATCCCTGGAAGGCATGGCTGATGGCTGGGCCCCACCCCTGCAGTTTCTGAAGGGTAGGCCTGGGTGGCCTCTGGGGTGGACAGGAGACCCTGGTGCTGCCTTAAGGGCACCAATAATCTAAATGTGAGAGCCAGGACACACGGGGGCAAATCTTGGCTCTGCCACTTACTGGCTGTGTCTCCTTACTGGTCATGGAATATCTTTGTGCCTCCAGACCCTCGTGTAAAATGGAGGATGAGGAGTAAGTGATTGATCTTTGTAAAGCACTTAGAACAGTACCTATTGCAAGCCAAATGTCACATGATAACTCTGCACAAGTGATGCCTCATTATTACCATCATCATAATTATTGGATCATAACTCTATTGAGAATCCCTGCGGAGTTTCAGGTTGGAAGAACTCGCATGGATAGCATTTAAAAAGGGACTGTAAGGCAGACACAGTGGCTCACACCTGTAATCCCAGGACTCCAGAGGCTGAGGCGGGAATATCACTTGAGCCCAGGAGTTCTAGACCTAACCTGGGCAACATAACAAGATCCCATCTCTGAAACCTACATTCACATTTTTCCCTGGGTCTTTCCAGGAAACGGGGACACCCCAGAAACCCAAGGGTCATGTCTAACACCCTCAACTCTCAGGGGATGAGAGTCTTGTCTTGGGTTGGAGAAGAGGCAGGGCAGGGAGGAGCAAAGCCCAGGGTGTGGCCATCCTCACCACCTGTTGCTCTACTCACCCCAGTGCAAGCCTTCCCGTGGCCGCAAGCGTGGCATCTGCTGGTGTGTTGACAAGTACGGGATGAAGCTTCCAGGCATGGAGTACGTGGACGGGGGCTTTCAGTGTCACGCCTTCGACAGCAGCAACGTTGAGTGATGCGTCCCCCCCGCCCTCCCCTCACCCCTCCCACCCCCAGCCTTGACTCCAGCCAGCGCCTCCCTCCACCCCAGGACGCCACTCATTTCATCTCATTTAAGGGAAAAGTATATATCTATCTATTTGAGGAAACTGAGGACCTCGGAATCTCTAGCAAGGGCTCAACTTTGAAAATGGCAACAACAGAGATGCAAAAAGTTAAAAAGACACCCCCCCCTTTTAAAATGATTTTCTTTTTGAGGCAAGTTGAATGAACAACAGAAGGGAAGAGAGGAAGAATGAGAGGAAGAGAAGGGCAGGAAGTGTTTGTGTTGAAGAAAGAGAAAGACACAGAGCGTTAGGAAAAGGCAGACAAGCAGGTAGGCAGGAAGGAAAGGCACCGAGACCAGGGAGGGCCCAACCTTCACGTCCAGCTCTGGCCTTCAGTGACACTCTCGGGGTGTCCCAGTTATAGATTGATTGGTCAGGGGGAGAAAGAAAATGACAGAACGTGCCAGGGCCTCTCCCGGATCTGTCTCCCCCTCCAGCCAGCAGTATGGACAGCAGGACCCCTGAACTTCCTCTTCTCTTACCCGGGCAGAGTGTTGTCGCTCCCCAAATTTGTAAAAACTGAAATGCATTCCATTCCTCTGAAAGCAAACTAACTTCATCACTGAGTGACGTTAGCTAGATAGGTTTTCGGAAGCAGATCTATGAATATTAAATACATGTGTATATTTCACTCCCCAGGCAAACTTTTTGTGAGAAAGCCATACATGCCCCAGTATTGAAAGACCTGTTCTCCCAGGATGACTGCAGTGCACACGGAAACGTGCGGTTTCAGCCCTCGTTTGATTCAATTCGCAAGTAGCACAGCAGGCTCTGTGGGGGAGGATAGGCTGGAAAAAAAAAGTGGGCTTGTATTTATCTACAAGGCTCCATATAGTCATATATAGGCATATAAATCTTTCGTTTCTCTTTATTTTTTCTTTCTTCCTTTCTTTCAAAGGTTTGCATTAACTTTTTAAAGTAGTTCCTATAGGGCATTGAGGAGCTTCCTCATTCTGGAAAAACTGAGAAAACCCATATTCTCCTCATACAACCCGTGACAGCATTTTTGCCTGCCTCGAGGCAGAGTTTCCCATAAGCAATAAACTGAGCTGTTTTGTGGGGCACAGTGCTGGACCTGATAGTGATTCCCCACGCGCGTTCCTCTGCACCCACCGAGCCAGGCACAGGCCAGCCCTCAGTGGTGCACACAGCATGAGCCTCAGTCCCATTTCAGTCTTTAAACCCTCAGGAAGTCACAGTCTCTGGACACCACACCGCATGAGCCCAACAGTCCACGACGGATCCCCCAATCCCGCCCCAACCTTCTCCTTTCATCTGAACAGAACCTCCGTTTTTGGAAGCCTCTCTCACTCTCCATGCTAGCAGAGCAGGAGAGAGACTGAAGAGATGGCAGAGGGAGAGGTAAGAAGGTTTAGATGCAGGAGAATAGTAAGGTTGATGGTTCAGTCCAGAGTAGATCGGGGGAGGAAGAGAGGGCTGCAGGGACGGGGGCTGACTGTCCCATTCTAGCTTTGGCGCAAAGCAGCAGAAATGGGGAAAAGCCAATAGAACCTTCCTTAGCTTTCCCATCCTATATGCCTTCTGGGAATTGAGAGGAAAATGAGAGAATGGGTTGTAAAATAGAAATGAGCTTAATCCAGGCCATAGAGCCAGGGAAGGTGGGTAAATTCAGGAGAGTGCTAGACTTTAGGAGCCAGATAGGAACAAGAATCAGTAGAAACGGGCCATGCTTTGGAAGAGGCAAGCCTATGTGCTCCGCCACCCACCTTCAGCCTGCAATGAGGGGTGGAGGCTCACGAGTCTCTCCCGCTCTTCCTCCATTCTGGCCCATCCCTGCCTCCTCCCTTGGGTGGAGGATGGAAGGGAGGCTGGGACAAGCAGGGAACGCAGGATTCAGGGATGCTGTCACTTGGCAGCCAGATTCCGAACCAAGAAAAATCCCATTCTCCAATGACTTCCTCAACCAGTGGTGGCCTTGTGACTGTCCTCTAAGGCTGAAGATATCCAGGAAAGGGGGCTTGGACACTGGCCAGGAGACCCCTTCGTGCTGTGGACACAGCTCTCTTCACCCTTTGCTAATGGCAGGACACAGTGGAGGCCGCCTCCCACATGGGGCTATGAAGAGGAATAGAAAAAAGCAAATCTGCTTCAACGCATGAAAACCCTATGGCTATAGAACCTGGGGACTGTGGCCGATGCCCCTGGATAGGACAATTGGCTGGGGACAGGAGAAGTGCTCAATCTTCATGAGACAAAGGGACCCAGCAGGGCTGGCAGCACGGGACTTGACCTGCCGAGTCAGCACACCCCATCTCTCTGCACAGCTGTCCCTAAACCCAACTCACATTTCTGTATGTCTTAGGCCAGTACCCCAAACCTCCTCCTCGCACCCTTCTTCCCACCCATTCTTCCTTTGCATCTTGAGCAGTCATCCAACTAGGATCTGCCAAGCGGATACTGGGGTGTCACTCCCCTAAGAAAAGACTGAGCCAGGAACTATGAGCTCCCCCGACGTTCCTCCCAGCCTGGACCTGACTCCGGAGAGGGGCTCTCTCTTCACGCACTGTGTCTGGACTTTGAGCGGGCTTCTGCCCCTTGCACTGGCTTTCTGCCGCCAGCCGTCAGGTTGGGGATTAAGGCCTGGTGTGAGTTCACCAGACTTTTCCGGTTTCCAAAGTTCATGCCTGCTCACCCAAACCCGTGAGTCTCTTCTGGGTGCAAGGGGTGCTCCTGGGCAGTTGGTCACTCCCTGGAGAGGCTGGGCCTTCATGCACACGTAGAACTGAGCCTCCCAGGAGGTCTGCCTGAGCCCAGGGTGGGGAAACCCTGGGAAGGGAGGCGTTGAAGGAAGATGGCACCTCCTACCCCATGGCAGGGTGTGAGCGAGGGAGGCAGGTTTGGAAAGTTGTGAGCATGGCAGTTTAAGCAGCAGGCAGCTTGACTCCAGACTGGCCTTTAGTCAACTGTCTGCTCACCCAGAGACCTGGGACTCCAGGTTATCAATGGCTCCAGGTCTAAGCTGCCCACTCCCACACCCACACCCACACCCACACCCACAGAACGTCTCTTCCCATCCCCTTTAGACTCGTGCCTCACTCTGGCAGTGGAGAAGATGCCTCTGTCTTTCCCACTACTGCCAGGAGATAGGGAAGCCCAGCCAGGACTGACGCTCCTTCCTCCAGCCTGCCCTGACCCACCTGGCAAAGCAGGGCACCTGGGGAGGAAGAGACAAGCGTTTCTCTGACAGCCAGGCCTAGACAGACAGGCCTGGGGACATCAGCCCCGTACGGGGAGGAAGGCAGGTGCAGGAGGCCCTTTTCTGATGACACCCTTTCTCTCTCACCCCATCTCCCCACCGCCACCTCTGTGGCCTCCACGGCACCCCGACAGGACTGGCCTCCTCTAGAGGGTGGGCCTCCCCCCAGCCAGCTGTTAGCAAGACAGGGCTGCCACAGCAACCGCCAAGCCCCCCTCAAGGTGGGACAGTACCCTGGACCCATCCACTCACCGAGAGGGTTTCGGTCCAGGATGGGAACCTCAGAGAAGAGCGCTCTAAGGACAAGAAACCCCGTAGCATCCGAGAGGACGTGTCCGGCTTCCAGGAGAGAGGAGGCTTCGTTCTGCAGAGTGGAGGAGGGACGAGGGACAGGGGTTTCACCAACCAGCAACCTGGGTCTTGTACTGTCTGTGTTTTTTAAACCACTAAAGTGCAAGAGTTTCGTTGCACTGTTTCTCCACTTCTGTTTTCTCCTGGGCTTTTGTTTCTTTTTTAAAACATACTTTCTTGGTTTTCTAATGGATTATACAGTTTAGCCATTTCCCAGACTCTGGCCTCCTCTCTGGAAATCCTTTTGGATGGGAAAAGAAAAGGCAGGGAGGGTCCGAGGAGAAGGGGACCCCAGCCTCCCTGTGCCCATTCACCCATGCCTCCGGTCCCCAGCCGGAGTCTCCCCTCCACCGCCACCGTCACACAGTAGCCCACATGGATAGCACCGTTGTCAGACAAGATTCCTTCAGATTCCGAGTCGCCTACCGGTTGTTCACGTTGCTTTTTTCTTTTCCTTTTTTTTTTTTTTGGAAGACAGCAATAATCACAGCACATATTAACTGTAGTTCTTTATAGTTTTACATACATACGTACCATAGCTCTGTTCTCTCCTCTTTTTTGTTTTCAACTTTAAAAACAAAAATAAATGATGATAATCTTTACTGGTGAAATGGATGGAAAAATAAATCAACAAACAAAACCAGTTCGTGAGAAAAAAAAAAACCGCCTGAATGCGGAAGAGCTCTGCTCTGTTTAGCGTTTTGTACTTAAGGAAATAAAAAACAAACCAGCAAACGATCTCATGTTTTCTTACAAGGTGAAGACTGCTGTATACTATTTATTCAACTTATAATTTATGTTACTCCTTGATTTTTGACTCTTGCCATGACACAGCATTTATTTAATAAAGTTATGCATTCAGTTAGCCTGCGTCGGCTTCCTCCCAGGGCTCAGGAAGGTAGCAGGGGGCGAGGCCAGCTCCGAATTCTCCTCGGGCCACAGTCCAGAGGCAGTGGAGGAGTGTCCTAGCGGGTCAGGGCTCAGCCTCTGCTCTGTCCAGAGAGAACCCCATCCCCCAAGACAAGCCCTCCCACTGGAACTCCAGCAGCCCCTTCCCCTTCCGTTGGAAAGCCACCACAGTCATGGAACCCAAGCAACCTCCATAACCTCCTCAGGCTTCCATTTCCTTGTGGGTAAAACCTCCTAGAGCTGCTGTGAGGATTCAGCCAGTTAATGTCCCCAAAGCCCTAGAACTGTGAACACCCAGCGCGCGTTCTGCTACCGTTCTATTACGATTATCACCCTCTTTGAATCTCAGCCCTTGCTATGAAGTCAAGTGGCCTTCATCTACCCTCAGACAAATGGGAAGTTTCTGCTCCTTGAAGAAGAGTTTAAGGAAGGCATTTCAGAATGTTCCTCCGTCCCTCCTCCCACTGCCTTGTAAACTCATAGCTCCTAGGATCCTCTGGCCAAGATAAAGTCTCCCCGCTGGTTCCTGCCCAACCTTCACGCTCTCTGTGCCCAGTGAACAGGAAAACCCAAGATGGCAGCCCTGATGTCAACCTCTTGGCGCTGAAGAGTGCAGTTCTCACACCCTCGCACCTTCTGCCGCCTCACCTTGTTGCTTTCCTCCCTCCTTGGCACCTCCGTTCCCAGGGCTCTTCCCCTGCAACCCCTCCTGGTTCACAGAGCTGCACAGCACACTGCCCTTTAGGCACCTGACTGACTGCACCCCCCCAGGCCTCAGGCCCAGCAGCACAGCAGGGAGATGGAGGCAGCGGCATCCTCACTCTGCCCAGCTCAACGGCTGAGGCTGCCAGGAAGACACATGTCCCATCCTGTCCTAGTCTAGGGGCAAGTGGACATCCCTGCCTTGCGATGGCCTGACACCCCCAGGCAAACATGTAGCTGAGCCGCTTCCCTGACACCTGTCAGCACCAGGTCCCTCAAGTTCACATAATCTATCCAGCCGAAGAGCGCAGCATTTGGACACCTGTCAGGCAGCCCTCCCTGCAGACACCTTGCAGTCACTCGGGAACCCAGGAAGGCTCCTGCGGAGCTCTCTCAGTCTACCAGGGCCCAGCAGTGGGGGTGAAGGAGGAGAAGGTGGAGGATGTGATCCTGGGATAGAGTGAGAGCTACTTTTTTTTTTGAGATGGAGTCTCACTCTGTTACCCAGGCTGGAGTGCAGTATCATGACCTCAGCTCACTACAGCCTCCACCTCCCGGGCTCAAGTGATTCTTCTGCCTCAGTCTCCCGAGTAGCTGGGATTATAGGCACCCGCCCCGGTGTCCAGCCAATTTTTGTATTTTTAGTAGAGACGAGGTTTCACCATGTTGGCCTTGAACTCCTGACCAGCTGTGGCCTCCCAAAGTGCTGGGATTACAGATATAAGCCACTGCACCCGGCTGAGAGCTACATTTAGGCAGCACTTACTATGTGACAGAAATGATTTTATATTCTCAAAGCAAGTCTTTGAGATAGAAATTATCCCAATATTTAAATAAGAAGTAAATGAGATTCGCATAGGTTAGAAACACGTCCAAAGGCACTTAACTCAAGAGAGTTCAGATTCTGTTCAAAGGCTACCTCACCTCCACACTCACACTTTTAGCCACCACATCTTACTATGTAGCTAGTATTCAAGACAATGAACAAATTCAGGGATGACAGTCAGGACTGTCCAAACACAGAGGGCATAAGAAGAGGGGTAGCCCCGTGGGCATGACGTATGCGTTCACGCGGGGCTGGCGCTTGGTTTAATGTTCCGCTATTACTGTATCGACATTCTTAATCATTTCTGAATAAGGGATTCATATTTTTATTTTGCCCTGGGTCCTATAAATAAAGTCAATCAGTCCTCATAAGAACTACACAGGAAGCAAGTTTCAGTGCAGACTCCCAGGCCCCTCCCCGAGTTTCTAACTCAAAGGTTCTGGGATAGGGCCAGTGGTAACAAGGTCTCCAACTGACTCCTTCTGGTCCACTCCTCTTCAATGCAACCCCAAGTCAAGGCCCTATATATGGTCGGCTGCAGTTCCGCGTGCTGCCACACAGTGGCAGTATAGACCCTGTATTTGCTTAACCTTTAAAGAGACAATTAGTTCCAGGTGAAGGACGTGCCGCACAACTGCACAATCCCGGCCCAGCCAGCCATCTTCCCATATGGATGCACTGATGCTCCGTCTCCGCGAATGTTTCTAGGTTGCACTGCACAGCAATTCGTGTGGTTCCTGTAGCTAGAGCCGCAGCAGAGGTGCTGCTCACCCACGCATTCATAAAAGCCACCTCTTCAGCCGAGCTTGGTGGCCCACGCATCTAATCCCAGCACTTTGGGAGGCCAAGGCAGGCGGATCACCTGAGATCGGGAGTTCAAGACCAGCCTGACCAACATGGAGAAACCCAACATTACTAAAAATAACAAAAACATTAGCTGGGCCTGGTGGCACATGCTTGTAATCCCAGCTACTCTGGTGGCTGAGGCAGGAGAATTGCTTGAACCCAGGAGGCAGAGGTTGCAGTGAACCGAGATCACGCCATTGTACTCCAGTCTGGGCAACAAGAGCGAAACTCCGTCTCAAAAAAAAAAAAAGCCACCTCCTTCAGAGGGTTGAGTACAAGAGTACTAAGTAAGGGTAATGGAGGGGAAATGGGCAGGGAGGTTGTGGCATCCTCGGAAGCCCTCTGTAAAAGTTCAAAGAATGGAATGGACAACGTGGCAAGCCTGGGGCATGAGGTCTGGCAAACAGCTGACCCAACAAGGGCCCCATAGTAACCCCTCCCGTTTTATACAGTCCTATAGTTTTCAAAGCACCTTCGCATCCCGTCTCTCACTGAGACCACCCTGTGTTTTTTGTTTTTTGTTTTTTGTTTTTTTCTTTTTTGAGATGGAGTTTCGCTGTTGTTATCCAGACTGGAGTGCAATGGCACGATCTCGGCTCACTGCAACCTCTGCCTTCTGGGTTCAAGCAATTCTCCTGCCTCAGCCTCCCGAGTAGCTGGGACTACAGGCACGCACCACCATGCCCAGCTAATTTTTGTATTTTTAGTAGAGACGGGGTTTCACCTTATTGACCAGGATGGTCTCGATCTCTTGACCTTGTGATCCATCCTCTTCGCCCTCCCAAAGTGCTGGGATTATAGGCGTGGGCCACCGCGCCCGGCCAACCACCCTGTCATTTGAGGCTGATATTATCCCCAATAGACAGATGAGAAAAACAGGCTGGGAGAAGATGATGGCATAGCCCCAGGTGATGGAAAACGACGTGGTGGGAACGGATCCAAGCCCCGGCATCCTGATTCCGGCATTCTTCTCGCCTCATCCCTGGTCCACAATCAGATTGGAACCTAAAAAGGAAGAAGACCCTGCCTGGGCTCCACGGCAGGCCAGTTACATCAGAATGTCTGAAGCTGGCGGCGGCGAAAGTGTCCTGCGCATCTCCTTCAGCGCGAGCCGCCGGCTGCACAGTGAATTTCTAAGTGATAAAGAAAACTTGAAACTGTTGAGGAAATGCATTAATCCAAATGGCTGTGGGCACAATTATAAAGCTGTGGTGACAACACGTAGAGAGGTTGACCCTGCTACGGGAATGGTTATGAATTTGGCTGCTCTCAAAAAATATATGGAGGAGGCGGTTATGCAGCCCTTTGATCATAAGAATCTGAATATGGATGTGCCATACTTTGCGACGCGGTGAGCACGACTGAAAATGTAGCTGTTTATATCTGGGACACCCTCCAGAAAGTTCTTCCTGTAGGAGTTCTTCATAAAGCAAAAGTATGTGAAACTGACAATAATGTTGCAGTTTATAAAGGAGAATCGCTCTCAGGGGTTAGCATTGTTCAAAGCCCAATTTCTTTCTGTATTGGAAAAAGATCTTGGTCCCCTTGGAATATTAAGAGGTCAGCATGTGATTGTCACACCTCCACATTGCGCTCTGCGGTGCCTGTGTACTGAAGTCATTGTAAGACCTGTTATAAATTTAAGTCTATTTTAAAACTAAACTTGTAATATATGCTGAAAATCATTATTACATTGATTTTTTAAAAAAATTTAATAATCACTTCATTTAAAAATTAATAATCACTTTTATTTAAAAATTAATTAATTTTTTAATTTAAAATTTAATAATATTTTATTTAAAAATTTATTTAAAAATTAATAATCACTTCATTTTCAAAAACAAACAAAAGAATGTCTGAAGCTGAGGCACTGGCATCAGATTTTTGTTTGCTTTTTCAAGTGCCCCCGTCAAGTCAAATGTTCACCACAGTTGGCAACCACCCGGCTTCCCAGGAGACCAGGCGTGGGCTGCTCCACCCAGGAAGAGCCGCTCCACCCGGGGACAGCAGCTCCGATGCTAGAGAGGACAGGGGGACGGGCCGGCGGCATCATGCATGTGCCAAGTGAGACAACCAGACCCCGCACAGGGGCTGCTGAGCTTCAGGTCCCAGGTCCATCCAGTGCCCAGAGCCCTCTAGGCCCTCTCCAAAGCGTCCCAACTGATTCCACCCACGGGCTCAGTATAACTCAGAGGTGGGTGGCTGTCACAGGCTGGAGTTAGGGGTCCCCAGGGCCAGGGCTGGGGAGTTTGGGCCCTTCTGGGGACCTTTTCCTCATCTGTAAAGTGTGACTAACAAGAGTGCCTATTTCACCAACGCACAAGGATTCACAAAGGCCACACTTTCATTCAGGGCAGTGCCACGTGCTGGCTTGGCTGGGTGCAGCCTGGAACACACCCTCTTGGCAGGGCTCCATCTATTTTCGGGGATCTGGTTTTCCTGTGCTCCGAGAGCTCATCTCGTGGCATTTCTGAGTGCTGTCTCGCATTCCAGCTACACTTATGTCACACCTGGTAAAGGCCCCACCACCCCTCTGCCTCTCCTCACGCACCAGATGGAAGGTCTGGAGGGTTGTGGGTTGG